GAGATTACTGAGATTCATCAGCAGAAGCTGTGGTCCCCCCTGGATAATTCCCGAGTTCCTTGAAATGAGTCTAATACCCAACAAGGTTACTTGTGCTGCTGCAGAAAGATATTTCTGGCCTTTTACATGTCAGAAAAGAAACTGGATATGACAGATTTGGAGCTGCCCTGTGATAATTTAGGAATATGGTCTGTTGGCCTGATTATTTGGTTGAATGTCTGGGTTTAACTCACCAGGGGTTAGCTTGCAACTGCACTCTTAAATTATCAGGGCTGGGCTGGGCAGTGCTTGCTACACTGGGATGTCCCACTTCCATTGTGGTTGCACAGCCAGTAAGCACAGGGAATTGGAAGGGGGGAGAGATTTAATTTTGAACCACAAGATCTCTGCAGTCCTAGCATCCTACTCATCCCTAGGAGATACAGAGGATTCCAAAGATCCCCTGGGGATCAGAGATGGGACCTGTAACTGTTTGATAAAACAGTTGGATAGAGCACTGTTAGGGAACATTAACTGGGATATGTTTGTGTTTATCTATGTCATTTCTATGTGTTTATGGAATTTTCTATGAAAGTGAAGGCTAACCCTAAAAAATACATTTTGGAAGAAAATAGGTTTGTGAATACCACAGTCATTTTCAGCAGTTTTTATCAAACACTGGGCATTCAGAACTGGCATGTTGCCTCACCCCTTGGGCAAGCTCCTTTTCCATAAAAGGGAACCTAATGGGGTGAACCCAGGGTTAATTTACAAAAGCCAGTGTCTTCTCTGAACATGAAACCAATGAAAAACTGTGCAGAGGTGTTGCTATTCCATAGTTTACAGTGGAGACATGTTGGGTGGAGAACTGGAAATATTACATGGCAGCTGGCCCACTCCAGGGTGCTGGACCCAGCCTCATCTGTGTGAGCTTCCAACTGAGACCAAGCTGGTCAAGTGAATCTCTTCAATTGCGAAAGAAGAGCACCAGCGGTTATTTGCCAGATGCTCAAGAAATATTTTAGTTGGGTAAAGAGCATATATATTAGGACACGAAAAAGGTCCCTAACAAACCATTCCTCAATATGGAAGAAAAGGGTTTTTGTGTGTGTCTGTATATGTTGGGTGAGTGAAGTGCAAAAACCAGAAAGTTGAAAATCCTAAGAAAATTACCCAAATCAGGTTTCTCTCACTCTATCCTGAGTGAGAGGACAAGTAAGTAGTTTACTATAGCTTTATGGGTTCTTGATTGTGGAGTTCCAAAAGGCAGCCTACAGGCCTGAGCCATATTCTAGATTAATTCCTAATTCATTCATCAGAACTAGGGAAGCAGTATGTTCATTCACTGCTTATTCCAGGTGTTTGGGCATGTGAAGTTCTCCTTTACTGTTGCTGGAAAGGCTAATATATTAAATCTCCCTAACAGTGAACTCCTGATGCACTCATCTTTACTCCAGTGGACATCTTTTTTATGAATTTCACTCAACAGAAAAACCAAACATATATTAAGATACCCCTTTGTCAAAAGAAGCCAGACCAGTAAATGCTGTGTATTTTGGTACAGATCCTCCCAGTGACTGCTTTATGTTGCTGGTAGTAGAGTCTGGCCAAAAAGCTGCTACATCTACCTTTTGGATGACTATAGTGGCAAAAGCATTTTTTAATGATACGCATGGAGTGCTGAGTCTCCTCACCACTTCCTTCACTGTTGCCACATAAAGGTTAAACTGAGCTGTCTGGATCAAACAGCAAAGCTCCATGGCTTTATTTTGGTCTAAAAAAAAACTTTGGAAAGAGACTATTTAGTGTCACATTGCTGTTTTAGGAGGAGGAAATGTGCATGCTGATGTTTAGGGTTTAGGGAAGGGTTGCATTCTGTAGGGTCTGAATGACTGACTGCTGCAAAATCTAGAAATACAGACAAACTGAACCAGGGATGAAAGTAGGAAATCAGAGCCAGGAAGTAAATTCTAAGTGCAAGGAGCTCCTAGTTACGAGCCCTCCATTGAGAAGTTCTGCTGTGAAGTTTCTTTCTGCAGCTGAAGTTTCTGAATGATAACTTCTTATGGAGTATGTTGCCGGAATCTAGATTACAAATGGCAAAGATTTAGATTGCAGTTGCAAAGTGTGTATCTAAACAGAAGGTAGAATCTTCTGGAATTTGCTTTAATTGGGATGTCCAGAAGAAGCACAGGGTCTAGTAAAACTCAAATTGTAAACGGAAGTTGTTACTTGTTAGAGGCACAGGAAGCTTTGAGGTTCTTCTGTGAGTGTGGAAGAGGGAAGAAACCTCAGGTTCTGATGTTCCCTGCATCTAGTCATCTTGATTTCCATGGTTCCTAAGCTGACTATCAGCTTCTCACCATCCTCGTTCTTTCCTCGTTGGTTTGACTCATCCCAGTGAAACACTGGAGAACCCAGGAAATCATCTTTTGTCAGAAACTAAACAAAACCATCAGCTGTTTCCAGACTAAACAGAGTACAGCACTATAGCCCCATGGCAGGTTTGCCTGCATGACCTTTTTCAAGCAGCCGCAAGTCAGCTCTGCCTGGAGTCCCTGATGGCCAGATGGACCGTGTAGCTGTGGCCTAAAAGCTGTGCACCCACGTGAGTGTAACGGGGTGCAGCTTCTCTCGGTGCTGTCTGAACAACGCAGTTACACTTAAAAAGGTTTTTCCCTCAATCCCTTGTCTTCATGTACTGAACAGCTGGTTACCTCAGGGTGGTTATTTCTGTTCCTCTGTACCCTTTTTGCTCCTGTCCTGAGTACTCCGAATATATGCTACCACTAACAGGAAGACTCTACATTCAAATTCAAATTATACAAGTTCAAACATTTATTTTAAATCAGATGCTGTTCAGATGCTATGCAACTACAGATTTTACAGTGCAGTTTGAGTGAGCTTTGCAAACATCTCAAGCCAACAAACTTTACAGGAAACATAATCCTATTATTTTACTAATCTCTGGAATACTGGCTCACCAGCACCATCATTTGTAGCAGAGCATCTGCTCAGTTCCTTCTCAGGTGATCTTTGTACTGTTACACAATATTGCTATTTTCCTGTCTTGACACCTATTGGAGAAACAGTTTATACTAGTTTCAGAAATCATCTTATTTGATGATCTTATGAAACTGTTTCTGCAGTTTCCATCTATTAAAACTAATGAAACATGCTTCAGTTATTGCCTGTTTCCCCACATACCCTTTCTAATGGTGTTTTTGATCCTTTTGTTTTAGCCTTAGAGAACCTGTAGCATCCTCCTTAGCTTTAATTCTGGAACATCATTCACACTTGCACGTTCTCAGCATGTTAGTTCCTGTCACAAGGAATTGTTAGCACACGATCATAAGGTGTTGGGTATCCCAACCGGTGTGTGTGGGATCAGAGAGAGAGGACAACAGGGTGCTATCCTACCACTTGGTGAGTCTTAGCAAAGAGAGGGAGGCAGCTGGGCTCAGAGGAAGAAGGTGTGCTTCAAGAGACTGTTTCTGGTGGCGTTTTTTCCCAACGTGTAGGAAGGTCAGGGGTTGAGAATGTATGGTATGTCCCCTCCACTGATATTCTTAAGCAGGGAATGACATTCATCTCTTTGCAATTCCTCATTGTAAAGCTAAATCTGCTTCCCCACCCCAAAACAAACTGTTGTATTGTTCTCCTGTTATCATGATAAATTATGGATGTGAGACAGCTGAATCATGACAATGCTCCTTGTGCTGAAGAAATTCCTCTTTTGTCATGTATGACTTTTTTATAGTCCTATTTATTGTGGGACCTATATTAGGGTCTTAATGGGATTGCAAGGAAGCAGGAAGTGTACTAGCTGGGATTTTAAGCACAGATGTCTTGAATATTCTGGGGAGCTTGTATCAGTTTATGATTGACCAGCAACCAACATGTAAGCAGTGCTTTGTGTCTGCATGCATACTTCATAAATCACAAAATCAGTTTGGGTTGGAAGGGACATTAAAGATTATCTGCTTCCACCCTGCTTTGCTATGAGCAGGGACATCTTCCACTAAACCAGGTGGTTTAGCCCCATCCAACCTGGTTTTGAACACTTCCAGGGATGGGGCAGCCACAGCTTCTCTGGGCAGCCTGTTCCAGTGCTTCACAAGCACAATACATAAGGTCTTTGATTCAATAAAATGTTGTGTCCAAACCAGAATTGTACTTTTCCATTGTACCTTTATAATTGTACCAATCACCAATTACCTTCATGGCTGCATGTGGTGGTGGTGATCCCTCAAACCGAACACAGGCCAAAGCTAGACACCCATCCACACAGAGTGGGGAGAAGGGTGACCTCTTTAATGCCCTGCCCAGGGGACGAATGCCTATCACAGAATGGGTGAGGTTGGAAGGGACCACAGTGTATCATCTGGTCCAACCTCCCAGTTCAAGCAGGGTCATCCCAGAGCACATGGCACAGGATTACATCCAGATGGTGCCTGAGTATCTCCAGTGCGGGAGACTCCACAGCCCCTCTGGGCAACCTGTTCAGTGCGCGGTCACCCGCATACTGAAGAAGTTCTTCCTCGTATTCGGAACCAGGCTGCCCACCCAGCCAAGAGAGAGCGCGGCCATTGGAGCTGAGAGGGCTCCAGCGGGTCGGTGGGAAGCCCCTTCGGCGGCGTGTGCGGACCGGAGGTAAGAGCCCTGGGCAGTTGCAGGAGCTCTGTGGGAGCGGGGTGCGGGCGGGTCGGAGGGCGGGGCAGGGCGGGGCTTCCTCCGGTGGCCGGGCGGGTTCCCGGGGGCGGGCGGGGAAGCGCTGGCCCCACGTGAGGCAGCGGGGGGGGCGTGATCCCGAAAGGGGCGGGGTGGGGCGGGCGTGGCTGTGGGCCCGGGCCCGTGGGCGGGGCGTGTCGCGGGGCGTGTCGCGGGGCGCCGCTGGCGGCGGGGCAGGCGCTGCCGGGGCGGGCACACAAACAGCGCGCGGGGCGGAGGCCGGGCAGGACGGCGGCGGCGGCGCGGGCGGGAAGCGGCGGGGGCAACGGGGCCGCCCCGCCTCCCTTCGGCGCTCCGGCGGCGGCCGGCGCAGGACAATGGAAGAGGCGACAGTGGCAGCGGCGGCAGCGGCGACGGCGGGGGGCCCCTGCCCGGCGGATCGACCGGGGGCAACGGCGGCGTTGAGCGGGGAGAACGAGGCCGAGAGCCGGCAGGGCCCGGCGGAGCGCGGCGGGGACGCGGCCCCGCTCAACCTGTTGGATACTTGCGGCGTGTGCGGGCAGCCCATCCAGAGCCGGCGGCCCAAGCTGCTGCCCTGCCTGCACTCGGTGTGCCAGCGCTGCCTGCCGCAGCCCGAGCGGTACCTCATGCTGCCCCCCGTCCTGGCGCCCGCGGCCGCCGCCGCCCCCAAGGAGCCGTTGCCGGCGGTGCCCCCTTCCTCACCCGTCCCTCCTCCGGCCTCCCCCCTGCACTGCACGCCCGGTAAGTGCCCCTTCTGCCGCCCGCCCCTTACCCCGCCTGCTGCCCCCTCCACCCCGCCCCACGGAGGCCTGTCCGTCGCGATAGGCGCGGGGCAGCGGGGAGCTGTCGCGACTGGGTGCGGTGGGTGGGGTGCAGGTGCCCGGCCGCGGGGCTGCCGGGGCACGGAGCTGTCGGGATGAGCTGTGCTCGCAGCTCACCAGCGCCAGGGCTGGCGGCGGCGTTGTGCTCTGGCTTGGTTTGTTTTAATGGTTATTTTTAAATTTCCCACCTCGGAGGGAAGGCAGCACTGTTGTACTTTCCCAGGACCTCTCTGTGCGGATGGAGAGAAGCGGCGAGAGCCGCCCCCCCCCCGATTCCCCCGCCGGGCCGTGGGTGCGGGGTCGGGGTCGGGGAGCCCCTCTCGGGGGAGCCGGGGTGCTCTGGCCCCTTGCTTGCGGAAAACCTGAACACGGGCTGATACCAAGGCGGAAAAACGTAGCGAGAAAGCAGACTTTATTTGAGTGGTGTTTGTAGTGTGGAGCGCGGCCGGAGGGGAGTCCTGTAGGTGTCATCCGCTCGGCCGGGAGGGACCCCGCGCCTGGGCGGGGACCGGGGCGGGCGAGGGATAACAACACTCGTGCGCGTGATCGGCAGCCCGGATGGGTCTGCTGGTGCATTAATGTGCAGCTTAGTTAATTGTCGCGCCGAAGGGAGAGTGCTGCGAGGAAGTTTTGGTAAACTCATGTACTGACACAGGAGCCTGTGTCAATATGTTTGAAAAGTACATCTTGCTGTAGAACATGTGTAATAAACTCCTCCAGTCTGAAAGTACCTTCCTAATGTTTTTAGGTTTTGTTTTTTTTTTTTTCAGGTGTAGTGGATCACTTAGTTTAGGCATCTAACAAAGTCTTCATCTTAGAAAAAAGGTGCAAACAAGCATCCTTTACTGGAAACAGGTTAAGATCTTGTTATGATCCAATTAGTGAGATATGCCTGTGCCCGAATTACAGTGCAAAGGAGACCATATGCCCTAGTCATTAATATGGCATTTATTTAACAGTAAACGTGAGGGAGAGAAAGAGGTCAAGCAGAAGATAGTCACCTGTGGATCCAGTGGCATGCCGTTGGTCCTTCTTCACCCTAGGCTTCTTGGTGGGGGGGTACCACCTTTATACAGTCCAAATTCCAGATGTCAGTGCAGTGGTCACAGTTGCTGTTCCCATAATGTGGGGTGGGAGTGTTTGAGCGATTGCTTCCTCTCCCACAGTTCCCTACAGTGGGAATTTTTGTCCAGATATGTTAACCAGGATGTGCTAACCAGATCTCTCCTCTGCTAGGCTTGGAATAAGTGCCTTCCTGTCAAAATTTCTTCTTTCTGTGCTTATCTCAAATTCCTGCACTAGTCTTATCTTATGGCAGGTTCCTTCTATGGCCTTGACAGTATTTGAGACAGACAACAGTACTCTTTAAGTCCTTACAGATCTTGGAGAAACTTGAATAGAAAAGAGGAAGTGTGATGAAATGGGGCTGCTCTGTAGGTATTAGTAGAGGTTGTGCTTATTGAGATGTGTAGTGGGCTCAAGTGAAAAGTAGTAACTTGAAGTTGACCATTTTTAAGTCCCTTAAGTGCATTTAGGAAAACTTCACCATCCTGCCAGCAGTTCTGACCAAAAGATTACAACTTGAATATGAAAAGTGTTTGCAGCAATTCATAAAGGAACAGCTTCTTGAGAGAAAGGAATATTTGGAACAATTGGAGACACTCATTTCAGAATATCTGAGAAACTCCTGAGTATGTTATTAATAGGATATGCTGAGCCTCTTCATCCACGTGGATGTCTGTGGTAGTATATTCATTCAGTCTTTCAGTTTAGCATGTAGTGTATGTTGCAGTCAGACTGCCTAGTCAGAATTTACAGAATAGGAAAATCTGGGAGACCCAAAGCCTATATACTTAAGCTTAGTTAATCCAGGAGATGTTAACTGCTTGTAAGTCTGCGAGTAGAACTGTGAAATTTAGCATGGCAGGAACAGACAAAGTACAAGCTTTGGCGTATAATGAGATATTTCAGGACGAGATGCTTGGAAATAGGAAAGAGGGCAGAGATACCGCAAGCCCAGAAGTTGCAGCATAGTTCGAGAGACAATATCATCGTCTTTTTTGAGGTCATGAGCAGCATAGCCCCATTCCCAGATGTTCTGTTTAAATATAGCAGAAATTGGGGTCTGTAGTTGAGTGAGAAATAAGATACATCATAAGAATTAAAAGAATAGTGCTGTTCAAACATCTGCTTGAGAGAACAAATGATAGGTGAAATAATGAATCATAGAAACAGGAAACCTGTAGCTCTGTGTCCCTCCTTTGATTGGGAGTTGGTTCTGTGTGAATGAATTTACAGTACATATTCCCCCTCATTGCAGACTTACTATATTTTTGGTGACAGTTATTTTTACCCTCTTGGCTTTTCTCCCAGCCTACTTTCATGCTTCCATACTACCATTCATTGTCCAATAGGAAGAAGAATCTCACACTCTCCTTGAGGCATTTTATACATCTTTTTTTGTCACGGTTTTGGCCCAGCTAAAATGACAGGAGCTATATATTAGATGGCTATGGCCAAACTTGATGATGTGCATTTTCTGCTTTCTGTTTTCCAACTGGGACAAAAAAGCTGTGAACTTGAAGTTAGAATTGAGAGAAAAAAAACCCAGTCGGTGTCCAAAACTGATTATATTGCAGAAATTTGTTACAGTTTTTAAATTTTCAGAAGAAGGAAGGACTAAACTGTCACCTCTTCTGGTAATATGTTGTACAAAATGCTTATGAGGAGTGACATGAAGAAATAAACTGAAGAGTATAAGCTTAGAAAGTTAGATAATAAATGCCTCTCAGGATGTAAATTATGAAATTACTGTGACTAAACTGAAGAAATAAACAGCAAGGGAGCTGTTTGTGCTGGAAGGAATGTCCTAAGTAAGGAACACAATAGAGAATTGCAAACTATGAAAAGCTCCTGAAAGATAAGCAGACTGCGTTTGCTGAGCGCTAAGATGTTGCACAAAAAGAAGCCTGAAGAAAGAGTGGTAGAATGGAGTTTGTCTTGGACAAAGGAGAGGATGTGATTTGGAAAGAGCTGCACCGAACCAGCCCTGAGATGAAGTGTTGTACCAACATCCAAATTAGTGGAGGAACAGATAGCTAAAGAGGTAATGGAGTCTCAAGTAAAATCTGGAGATGCTTTTTGTCTTCAGCAAACTGTTTCCAAGCAGATAGATTCCTTTTCTTTACTAGAATAAAGTGTACCTCCAACTTCTAACATACAGACAAGTTTAACTGGGAGAATACTGACTCTCTATAAAGCTGTGGGGGAAGAAAATCAAACTTGATGGTCTAGAATGAATTAAAAATTCTAGAGTTGCTCACTCAAATACAAGATTCAATATGCACAACAGCAGACAAGTGGCAAGACATGCAAAGGAGTTTAGTGTGGTGGATGTTAATCCTGCAGAGGTAGGCTGGTGGCAAGGCCAGTTGACAATGATATACTCTATACTGCCACATGAATTTTCTGTAGAAAAGAAGACATGGAGTTTCAGATTTCTGTAACGTCTCTGAAGTTTTAGATGTTGCAAAATCATCTCTGTGTCAGACACCAGTGGTTTTAGCACTGGAGAACTCACTGCTTGCTTTCTGAATGTCCAATGACAGCTTATTTAATTCAGGTGACATTTTTTTGTTGCATTTCTCAAAAATGTGTTGCCTGACACACAGCATTATGAACTGCAGGGAGTGCTGCGAGAGTGGGTCTGTAAATGTGACACTCGCTTTTGAGCAAGTGTCTACAGGCGCCACTACTGAATATCTTGGCTAACTTCATGTGAGTTTTCCTTTTGTTTCTTAAATAACCATTCTTTACTTTTTGATGGTGTGAGTTGTAACTGGTGCAAACAAAAAGGCTGTTATTAGAAATCTGCCATTTGCTCAAAGTTTGTGCTGGACAGCGCTTCAATGATTAGTTGAATAGTAGCCAGTACTTAAAGGACAGTGTTGGTAATGTGGAGAACCTCATCATACTCTTCTGGAATTTTTAGATGTGAAACAGGTACATGAAAACTGTGAAGTTATAGATTGAGATACTATTCCTTTTCAAAACTATATTTTAAGTTGTGAGTATCTTTGCTTTCTTGTAATCATCAGTCTGTACACAAAATAGAGTGGAAACTGGTGTGAAGAAAAACTTCTGAATGGAAACTCAGCAAAGTTTTATGCAGATATCATGATGAAATCTTATTAGTGTCAATGCCAAAAATAGTAGAAGGAAACTTTTTTTTTTCCTGGTAATTTATCTGTAGACTAACCTGCTAGCAAAAAAACCTGTATGAAGTTGTTAGAAGCATATAATGTTTGGACAACGCCAGGATATAAATTCTTGTGGAATGTCCACACTAAAAATGCAAATATGTTTGATACTTGCTGTTAATTAAGGAGTAAATACTTCAGAGTTACTAAACAAGGATTTCAGGGATATTCATGTTTCATATTTCAGGTTAATAATACCCAGAAATATTTGTTTAGCAATACAGTTTCAAGTTCTCTAAGGCATGAAGACCTTAGCCTTGATATCCCCTCATGTATGTGGATGGCATCTGTTTTATTATGTCCCATAATCAGTCCTTATACAGATAGCTTTAAATTCTTTCATAGTCTCATCTGATCTGGATATCTGGACTTTCCAGTGCCATCACTTCATTTGACCTTGAAAACACAGCTTTTGACATCAAATTTTGTTATTTGTCTGTATGTAACACGTTCTTTCACTCTTTTAGTTTGATAATGTTTAGGATCCTTCTTCGTTAGTTGGAAGGGTATAATAACTTCATTTGAGGTTTCTTATGGTGAAGTTCAATTTTTCTTCCATGTCTCTGTAGTCTAAAAAGACTTATGATTCTTTTTTAAAATCTGCCTGATACGCATGATTATTTCCATTTCATTTAATTGTGTGGCTAACACACATTCACAA